GAAAAACAAATGAATGGCTAGTTCAATTACATAAAATCGTATTAATTAGTTAACAATCGATATTTCTAGAATTATTGTTAATTATTGTGAAATGATACATTGCCGATGAAACCATCCATTCTCTATGGTTGTTAGCGGCGTAACCACAGGGTGGGCTGGGGTGGGCTCAGCCTACCCCAGAAATATTTGTATTTTGTCGATTATTGAATGCTATTATAATATTTTGGAGTAAATTTTTGTTCAAGAAAAAAATGTACGGGCCATTTCCGATCAACAACAATTGACAGGAAAGAAAAAAAAAGAATTCTGTTCTGTTTATGTTGTCTTTCAAAAGGTCTCGGGGCTAAGCCCACCCCAGCATTAAAACCTGGTTACGCCACTAATGGTTGTTGTCTAACTTTTTAGGATAAAACTATTCATCCACGAGTAACCCTCGTCCCTTCGACTCGCTTAGCCCTCGACTGAAGAGTTAAATTTATTTGCATATCATTTTATTTTATTTCTCTGAGATAACTGATCGTAACATCAGATGTAACTGATTATACGTGTTACAATGCAATGATCCTAAACTGTAACAGTATAGTTAGCTTAGAATTTTAATCATTCGCAGAATTAAAATCGCGACTTTCCTCGACTGCTTACAGAGCAAAGCGTTTTCAAAAATAGTGCCATGAAATTCTCTCTTGTGCAGCACAATAGTTCGAAAAATGTATTTACTTGTTTCGTGGCTAATAATATGAGTAAAGATTAATCTTTTAATGAAAATTTATCAAGAAAAATAAATAATAGGTACACTCAACTGCGTCACATTGTTACGTCGTTTGATCTTTGACCTTTGAACCGACGACAAGCAAACAAACTATTTTTTTTTCATATGACCATCCCTTCAGTCGAGCAAATAGCGTTTATTGAAATGCATGAGCTCCTCAAAATCTGATTGAACGAGGAACGAACTCAAAAAATACTGATTGACTTAAACCTCAGATTCTCACAACCTGATTGGACAAAAGCTAGGTTTCGGAAAACGTTTCAATAGCTGGAATTTCACGCAGCTACAATCTGATTGGTCGAAAGCCGGATATCGCGAACCCTGATTGGCTGAATTTCCAAGCTCAAAAAACTGATTGGTCGAAAACCCCTGATTGGCTGAATTTTCAAACTGAAAGAATCTGATCGGTCGAAAGCCCGACATCGAAAATCCCTGATTGGCTGAATTTTCCTGCTGAACGAATTCCCTTTGGTCGAATGGCAGATATCGAAATCCCCTGAGTGGCTGAATTTCTGAGCTCAAAGAATCTGATTGATCGAAAGCTGGACATCGAAAACTCCCGATTGGCTGGATTTCTAAGCTGAAAGAATCTGATTCGTAGAAAGCATGGTATCGAAAATCCCTGATTGGCTGAATTTCCAAGCTGAAAGAATCTGATTGGTCGAGAGCCCGATATCAAAAACCCTTGATTGGCTGAATTTCCACGCTGAACGAATCTGATTGGTCGAAAGCCCGATATCGAAAATCCGTGATTGGCTGGGTTTCCAAGCTGAAAGGATATCATTGGTCGAATGTCCAATATCGAAAACCTCTGATTGGCTGAATTCCCAAGCTGAAAGAATCTGATTGGTCGAAAGCCCGATATTGAAAACCCGTGATTGGCTGGATGTTCAAGCTGAAAGAATCTGATTGGTGGGAAGCGCGATGTCGAAAACCTCTGATTGGCTGAGTTTTCGAGTTGAAAGAATTTGATTGGTTGAAAGCCCGACATGAAAAATCCCTGATTGGTTAGATCTCCAAGCTGAAAGTACGTGATTGGACGAAAGACAGATATCGAAGATATCCAGGCATTGATCTTTCAGCAGATGTTCTTTTAACCCTGATGTTCTTTTGACCCCGATGCAGACGCACAGACACACACACAATCTATTTTTTTTCATATGACCCTCCCTACAGTCGAGGGAATAAGTACTCTATAAGAAGGACTGTACATAACAACAATAAAACATTCACTGAAAGATAAGACGACGAGTGACGACAAAGAAGCAAAAAAACTCATAGTTATTCAATGACATTCATTTCATATGGAGTACACAAATCGATATTGATTTCTGTATAATATCACGTGATTGGAATCGTTCAAAATTAGACAATGACTAGTAAAGAGACATTTCATAGCATCTCCATTCTATAATTCGATTACTGATAGTTAAATGAGCACGATTGTTCTAGAAAGATGTTGTTGCATTTAATTTCATGTTGAAATAAATAAAACTTACATTATCAGAAATATGAGACAATTTTCCTTTCAGACAATACAAAAGTTGATAATTTTTACTTCAATTTATTTTTCAATTTAAATAGATATTTTATATGATTTGACGTTTCATCTTATTTCTCAATAAAAAAGAAAAAAATTTAGTTTGTTCATTTGAACTTGAACTTCAAAAATATTTACCTGCACAAAGAAATATTTCAAACAAAAATTGGTTTATTTGTTTATCTAAATCTTATGAGAAAAACCAATTTTTAAGATAATCTAATATAAATATAAAAATCGAAATGGCAGGCATAGACTATTTGAAATTCTGATGTTTTAATAATATCTAGTGATCAAAAGACATTGTTTTAGATGAAATCAAAATTGAAGAAAATCTTGGATAATTTTTCCATAGGTCAATTAAATACCCAAAGAGACGTTGAAAGTACGTCAAAAACTTATTTTATGGAATGGAGAATTTAACATTATCAGAATGTGAGAATAGCTTTACATAAGTCTGTACATATTAAGATCTATTGAAAAATAAAATATCGATTAAAATCTATTACCGGTAGAAAAATCAGTATATAACATGAGTATATTGTTCTTGATATTTTTTTTTATGCAAAGCTGTTTCTGATATCAGACTAGTAAACAGAGCTGTAATGATAGGGAGGCTTTTATTGTCTTGTGACTACAGACTTTCTAGATTTCGTAGGAGACCGACGAAATCTGTGAAAAAAGTTTTCTTGACCGTTGACAATCATTTTGAAGGTGTCTTGGGTTTTTACGAAACCTTTTTCAGGGTTTAGATTTTTTGCAACAAAATAGGTTGGTATGACACCTTCCTTTTGCAGTGTAGTCTGACCGATCTTCAGAAAAGAACTGGTTATCCTCAACATCTGGGTATAGCACGCGTACAACAGCCATTGGCGATTTCAATTGGCCGAGACAGAGTACAAACAAGTTTGATAGATCTAATTTTACTAGGAACCAGTTTAGGACACTTTTAATGAGAATTTGACAGAGAGATCCGGGAGAAAATAAGAAGAGCTAGACAAGCAAAGGCTAAATCTACTTTGCTTATACAATAATTCAATTTTCATTTTCTTGTTTTTTTTTTCAATTATTCTTTAAATTTCTTATTTATTCTGTGATTCTTTAATTTATTTAAATCTATTTTCTACCGGTAAATTTTTTATACTTCAATGATATAAATTGAAATGTTTTATTGATACATATATTTCATTAACGGAGTTGTAATTAAAGAAAAACGTTGCGTAATTTTTTTTTGAAAAATTGTGAAACACTCATTTTCATATGAAAGTCAAAGACAATATGTATGAAATTTATGCTCTTCTCTTCTAAATAAAAGAAAATAATAGATTAAGCTTGTTTAGTAATTGAGTCTTACGCATTTTTTAAGTGATCCTGATTTATGAGACAATTTGTAGATGGGTGTCACCCAACGATCCGATTGTTTACGTGTATCACGCGGAGAGAAATAACAAGAAAAAATGAAGTTATACATTAATTAATGAATGACGCTTGATGGGATGACTTGATCACGCTTTCTATTCGTGCTTGTTTGGCAACCCACGTATCAATGATTTTACTTCATCCCATTTATTAAATGACGAATGAATAAATATAATCACCTGGCATTACTCCTTTAGTTAGTGTGTTTTCTTTTTGACGATAATTAAGCAAGTGCCTATACAATATGCATCATCATCATCATCATCATTTGTTTGGTGACGCTTTGTTAGCTGGCGCTGTTGGTCTAGGTGCCTATGAATTGTGGCATCATCATCATCACTATGGCAGTTTTAGTTTCGGAAGTCCTTACAACGATGATAGTTTCTTTGGAAGATATGGTTCGCCACATGGTTATGGATCATACTCTGGATACGACGGAGGTTACGGTTTCTATTATTGATGTTATGACTAGGCTTTCTGTAAAGAAACGATGACGATCTATTATGATATTCTTTTGATCTGAGCTTTGTGAACGACATTTTGATTATTTCAATAAACTTTCGTGGAGACTGATAATAAGATTCAAAGAAGAAACAGCAGACTTCGACGCATTTCTATTCCCTGTGTTAGTATATAAATCTGTTGATTTTCGCAATTTCTGATAACGCATTAGGAATGAATACGACATCAATAAAAAATTTTCGGATAAAACTACTGTTTTAATGAACCACAAAAGTTAGATCGTTTATGCATCTATATCCACCAGTGAAATTTGAACCACAGTTTTCTTGGTTCTCATTGCATAATTTACGCACCGTGGTTTTGAAATAGTTTTAGATTTTTATAATTGAATTTTGCAGAGCTACTAAGGATTTCATGAGATTCCAAAGGATTGGAGTCTATTGTTTCCCGCTTGATCTAGACACACCAAATATGAAATGTTCTTTTCATCATGGGGTAGTACCAAAACCCGCTTGTTTGATGTTAAGATTTTATTTTTGTATTTTTCGTTAATAGCTTCTTTACAAACAAAAAAAAATTGTTTTGAAAATGAACGTCTTCAGAAAAAATAGTTATATAGACGACACCAATATTGTAATAAAATTTCAGCATAGATGGTAACTCATATATTCATCAATAGACGTTCCCTTTTCATTTTTCAATAATGAAATAAATTCAATTAGCTTTATATATATACATGTTTTGCTTCGTTAAATAATCCGTCACTATTCCTGTTGTATTAATTTTGCATGACTAAATTTATTAAAATAATTATGATGATATGTCTACAATATCCTCATCATCGGTCAGGTTTCGAAAAAGAACATTAAAAACTTGATAATAAAAGGTTGAATAAGAAGTACATGCATGTTGACAATTGGGTGTGAAATTAATTTCTAATATTAAATCAGTTGCATATGAAGCTCGTGATGATAAACATGAACCAATATCAAATGGTGGCTTCTCGACTGTTGCAGAATGAAATATTTCGCGACATATTTCAAATATACGTTGTTCAATACTTGACCATATTTCACCATGTTGTTCATTAAATATGGTTATAAATGTTTCACAATCTATTTGTCTTATATATGTATTTACTCGATAATCCATTACAGTAAAATATGTTTCATGATCATCGAGTTCTTTCATTGAAAATGATTCATTTGGAAAACGAAGGCAAAAAAATTTATGAACATATAATTTTAACCGAATGATTCAAAAATCATGCAATCAAAAAAAACAAAAGGAATAATAATAGAAATTTTCAAGGTAATCAATGAAATTTTAATCATCAGATATCAGAGTCCGTGTGCTAAAAAAATATGTTAAAATTTCGAAATATCTTCTATACAGGCATCTTTGTTAATGATCTATTGTTGTGTCAATTTGTTCGTCTTCAACCATGATGTATTTATTTATTCGATAGGTTATATCGAGAGAAGACAAAATCTTAAAGGATTCGGATGCATTACCTACAAGTGAAAAGTTATAGCCGATGTACTGAGAGCAAGACATTTTCGAAAAAACTAATAAATCGATTTACAAATCATTAGATAGCCCTGGAAATTTCAAGGAAAATCAATATAACTTTCTCGAGATATTCAATTGAATATTTTGAGAAAGACATATTTGTTATTGTTGAAACTTCCGAGGCTGACTAATGATTATTAGATCTATTTATAGGCAAAATTTCAAGTTAAAACTCTTCATTTTATTTTTTCGGAAACACCTGGCTGCTAATAAAAATTCCAGTAAAACAGCTATAGTTCTTCAACAATATGTCATGAGCCCGAACTCTTTAAGGCTGCGTCTTACCTCAATATAATCTATCGAGTGATGTATCCAGAGATCGAAACAAAATTGAACATCTCAGATACTTTCCTCATTAGTATGAGACATGAGAAGGACAAGTTACGAGTGACATCTGAATATGTCGTCTGGGTCGTTTTTTATATGCATAATTTTATCACATCCCACCGTTTGTGTTTCACATATTTCTTATTATAATCACACTCTCTGGAGATTGTTTGAGATGACGATCAAAATCACTTGTTACTTTAGAGCAAACGACTTTATGAGTCAGTTTGAGTATTGTAATGAAGAAATGTAATAATGGTAAATGTTTTCTTCTGCGAATTATGAAATTGAATGAGTGATAATTCAGCATCACACTCTCAGAACCAGATGTCTGTTCATATGACAGATGGATAGAAAACTGCTTTCAAAAAAACAATAGATACTCAAGTACGATTGCAGCAAGATTATTCATTTTATTCTAATTAAAAGAGCATACACTTGCAAGAGGATTACACATTGTTTACTGTGAGCCCTCCTTCCAGCACAGATAATTATCGAATAACGCTGCTGGTACAGTAGGATCTCCCAAAGAGATATACGGTAACTGACCTACTGGTCCGTTATATGACCAGATCAGTTCGATCGGGGATGAGATAGGCAGGCACAGGACATTATCGTTCCATAGACTGTCCATCGGTTCTGGCGTGAAGACACATTTGACATCAGTACTCCACTGATTAACTTGGCATTTCCATCTAAGGCCGATGTCAATCGTGGTGCAGAGATAGTTATCATGCCAGCTGTAGATCTCCTCATACATCTCCAGGCACCATCAATCATTGGTAATAATAGAGGGAATAAAGCGCAAATTTCAGTTGCCCATCTCCGACTACATTTGTCATGTTAATCTCCACACCGTCAGCGGGATGGCGAACGGCAAATCGTTCACCATTGACTGTCTTTGGTAGCTTTGACAAATGAATCGCACCCTCAGGGGTGGCGCGACCGGGGGGTAGTCGGGGGTGCGACACCCCCCCAATCTTCAAAAATTTCTGTTTTTTTGCTCAACAAAATCAGGAAATTTTCTTCCATTTGTCACCAAAAACAATGTTACACCCCCCGAAAAATTGCAGACTTCGTCTTTCTAGTCCAAAAAATTTCGCTACACCCCCCAATGTTGATTGACTCGCGCCACCCCTGCGCACCCTATATGCCGATGAGAAGTAAAACTTGGAATCAGAACATTGTTTTACAGGAAAATATAAATTGAAGTGACTGACACTTTTTTATATCCCTATATTACCTTGCGTGATGTGTATTTTTGTTTGCCTTCATTCTGTGTTTCTTCTTCCTCTTTTCTCATTTATTACTGTTATAGGCATGACATATGCCTTCACATCACTTTTAGATATTGGCATCTATTTGCGATATTATTCTTTCGACTTTTTTTCTATTCGCTCAGCATTTTTTTCGTTGTTTTTTTGTGATTTATTCGAAGGAAGAGCACGAGTCGAACGGACATAGCTGCTTATAATTACTACCAACACAGGTGTGGGTAATTTGATCTACTCTTCAATCGCTCACCGGTATCCATACTAACACCGCACCTGGTCTGCAAAACAATCGATAAAGTTCTCCAATAGAGATTGAATCGATTCGAATGGAAC